TGCTGCTAGAGTAGTATTTGTATAAAAACTTAGCTTTGCACAACAACTGCAATAAACATCCCCTAACCTTTGTTTTTAATGGTAAATAAGTTTTTTTTAATTTTTTCATAGCTTAACATTCTTAACATGAGCAGATTTTATTTTCTGCATGTGACTTATGTGCTGTCAGCAAAATGTTACTATATGCACTAACATTATTAGTTCAAAGGGGCATTAGCCCAGTAAGGCTATTCGTCTCAATATGGCATCTTGCATTGAATCACTATAAACGGCTGTATCACTTTTCAGAAAGTTGCTACCAAATATTATTGCCCTGTATTATGATTAAAGAAATCAGGTAATGAAGAATCTACATGAATGCATGCATGTTCCTCGCATTGTGAAAAAACACCTAGAGCCACCAAATTTTGAATGACATAGTTCTCCACCTGAATATGGGTACCTATAAGCCCGAATCTTGACTTTGTTTTATCATCTATTTCATATTTTTTAATGAATTTTTGATTAAGAAACTCAGTTATTTCAAAGCAAACACACTGTGCAGAATAAAATACTTTTATCACCAGCATGTGAGACTGTCTATAGGAAATTCTAATTTTTGAAACATTTTAGCCCAAATGCTGTCTAAATGTGTACATATGAGTAAATGAAAAAAATTACCTTTGGGTGTAATATAAAATCTGAAAGTTTTCAGAGTTTTATTAATTATTTTTTATTTGCCAATTACACACACAACTTCTTTTGCTCCTGCAAGACAATTTTGTGTTACAAAATAAATTCATTCTTATTGTTTTTGGACATGTCTATATAATAAATGTAAAATAGTTTTATGATTAGGTAAAATATGATTATTATAATTTTGTTCCTCTTTTTATCCTAGCAACTTTATATGTTGATTCGCTACCCAGATTGCTTACCAATGGCCGATTGATAAAATTGCTGACATTTTCAGCTTGTGACTTGAGTTCAGTTCCAACATAAAAGTATCAGCAAGAAATTTAAAAAGGTATCTCCCATATTTATTTTGCTATAATTGAGTAACCAAATAATTACTAATTTGTTTATAGATAATAAATGTTAAATTGCTTTTGAATGCTTCCTGTAACTTGCATTCTTCTGGTATTTAATTTCATGTCTTTAATAGTCATTCGTTTAAATTTAATTATTAATTTTATTCACATATAGTAATTGCAAGTGTTTATATATATATATATATATATATATAAGGTGCTGTGAAAGGCAATGGCAAAGATGCACTTTATCATTCAAGAGTTCTTATATATGTCATCTTTTACATGTTTAGCATTAAACTATTTAAAATGCATTTAATTAAATATAAATAATTTTGAATGAATTGAAAGAAAATGTGATAAACTGAATTTATAAAAACAATTTTGAATTTTGAAGAATGTGTTTTTTCTGCATTTAATCATATGACAGTGCCTGATATTTCTAAATTTGTTTATTTTTCATGCCAATAAATTTGTTTAAAAAAATTTGTCATATTAATAGTTGATAGAAGATTTAGCATTATTATAAGTTTTTACAATAACAGATTAAGTTAAACTACTTTTTGTAAAGTCTCTCTGAAGTTGAAATTACAAAGGTAAATGGTTAAATACTTTCTTCATTCCACATTAAGTAATTTTATCTAGTAAATTAACAATATTCATTTACTAAAGGTAACAGAATACTTAACTTTTTCTTGAAAATAGAAACATTTTTAGACATTTTAAAAATTGATATACCTAGAAAATTCTCAGATTGAACTATATGGGACACTCAAAAATGTTATACATGAAATATTTCATAAATGAGGTGTAAATATTTTCATGATTTGTTGACTATAATTCATTGCATATTTTATATACACTGGTGTGCAAAAATTAAGGACGAGACGGTTTTTTCAATATAACTTTGTACAAAAGCTTTCCAAATCAACACATTTAATACCGTAAGATCCCCAATACGTAAATACATGAGTAATGTAAGCAACACTTACTAAAAAAGAAATCAGAGGGATAAAAAGAAGCTTTATTGAAAAAGTAGCATGGAGCGCAATGCGACTGAAGGCTGAAACATCCCTTTAATGGGGGTCCAGCACGAAACATCCGGTCTTTAATAGGGGATATGATCTCCCCTGACTGCTAGGCAGGTTTCACAGTGTCTGCCCATGCTGAGAATGAGGGTGTCAATGAGTTGTTGAGGCATTGCTGCCCATTCGTCTTGCAGCGCCAATCAAAGCTCCGGAATCATTACTGGTGGTAAGGTACGAGCTGCCAAGCGTCTTCCTAGAAAATCCCATACATGCTCGATGGGATTGAGATCCGGAGATCGTGCCGGCCAATCCATACGTTCAATATCCTCACTCTCTAAGAGCTGTTCGGCAGCTACTGTGCGATGACATGGTGCATTGTCGTCCATGAAAAGGAACTGCAGTCCCATAGCGCCTCTAAAAAGACGCACATATGGAAGAAGAAACTCGTTACAATAACGGGTCCCGTTGACTGAACCTGCGTCGAAGATGTGAAGGTCTGTACGACTACCAAGCATGATGCGTCCCCAAACGAGAACACCGCCACCTCCATACCTGTCCCTTTCAATGATGTTCGAGGGATGATTGCGGCTTCCCCGCTCTCTCCAGATGAGTATGCGATGAGAATCGCTACTCAGACTGAATCTGCTCTCATCTCTAAAGAGTACTCGTCCCCATTCATTATCTCTCCAATTCCAGTGTTCCCGGCACCACAGAAAATGCCTTCTCCGATGGGCAGGCGTTAGAGGTACACACCGTACAGGGCGTCGTGCAAACAGACCACCACCGTGCAAGTCCTCTGGCCATGGTAAACGATATCGGTAGTCCAGTCGCCTGTGTCGTGTGTCTAGCGATTCTCTCGCTGTCTGCCGCCTGTAAGGCAACATAACGGTCATCTGCGGGTGTGGTTCCTCGTGGACGACCACTACTAAACCCCCGGATAGCTGTTCCTGTAGTTTGAAATTGTCTCCAAAGTCGTGAAACGATGCTGTGAGCAATTCCGAACTCTGTAGCCACACTTGTCACACTGCGGCTTTCCTCCAACTTCCCAATGATTCGACCTCGGGTAAAAGCATCCACATGTCGTCTAACAGATTGATTATTCGCCACTTTCCAGTCCCATTATCCTATAAAACGTTTTGCTACTTCCCCTTGGCCATCTCTACTAATAATCTTCACTGATAAACCATCTTAAACTTTGAGCCCTCTTAGATGATTTAAAATCTGGGCCCTTTCAGCATTTTTTTTTTTTTTTTTTTTTTTTTTTTTTTTTTCCTTTTTAATGTGTGAGCAAAATGGTAGAATTTTAAAAGAGTTTCTTGAATTACCTTTCTAATGAAAGTTATTAACAGTGTCAATACCATAGTTTTTATAACTAAATATTAAATAAATAAGCCTGCAGCAATTTCATATAACAAAAGTACTTATTCATATTTATTTACTCTGTGGCTAGGAATTGAACCTTAAAAAGTTCTTTACATGCTTTAAAAAAGGGTGATTCATTAAACCTGTAAAGGTTATTACATACTTAATTTTATTATTAAATTTTGAATACAAATTAACTGAAATCTTATGAATATATTGAAGAATTCAGTTTTGGGCTATGGAATGTTTAAAATTGGTCGAAAGATTTTTAATATCTTAAAAATAAAGTAAAATTTTCTCTTATAATATTTTATATTAATAATTCATTTTAAGACCTTTGATCAGTTTCAGATATATTTACAAATTATTATATAAATAGAAATTCAAATTAAAAAAAATATGTTGTATAAATATTCTCAACATTTCTCATTTTTTCATAGTAACCAAAGGAGGAGGACCTGGGATTATTTATGGAAAATAAGTAGGTTTTAGGTCATCACAACACCTTCACACACTTTCACTGGAATGTAAGGAAGATTCCTGGAAATAAACTGGGATGTGACATTAAGCAGTCGAGAATATGTATTTAAGAGGTTAAAGGGATATTCCAGGATATAGTAACTAGTATTTCAAATCCTGATAATATCCCATATGCTGTCTATGGGCTTAGATTGGATGTCCTAAGGATATACTGGGATGTGACATTAAGCCCTCGGGAGGATGAGTTTAGGAGGAAACTGGGATATTACGGGATGTCCTAAGGATTAAGTAAGTAAGACTTGAAATTGTAATAACATCCCATACCCTGTCGATGGGACTTAGAGTGAATGATCTGAGGATATAATGGGATGTATTTAGGAAGTTAGAGGGATGTCCTGAGGATGTAGTAAGTAGGATTTCGGATCATAACGTCCCATACACTGTCGATGGGACTTAGGATGTCCTGGGGATATACTGTGATGTGACATTAAGTACTCAGGAGGATGTGTTTAGGAGGTTTGGGAGATATTCCGGGATGTCCTGAGGATGTGCACATATCCTGCGAGTAACATCCTCAAGATATCCCAAGGATGTTTTTCTCCTATGTGGGTACAGTAAGTAATATTGCTGGAAATGCTGTACTTAAATATGCCTTTGCAAAAAATATATTTGCAAAATTTACTTCTTCACATAACACTTGGTTCCAGGCTATATGAAGTTCTTCCAAAAATGTAGGAGAAAAAAATGACATGAGGTCAATCAGTTTTGAGTCCAAAACTACATGTAAAGAAAAATGGCATCAAATATTTGGTTTAAAACATACAGTTCTGTTTTTCATATTAATAATGTGTACTAACTTCAAATAGTACATTCTCATTTTTAGCAGTTACTTGCCCATAATGTCTTTAAAATTCTCATTGCACCTGTAAAATAACTGCATTTACTTTATATTCAAACTCAATTTTCAATTTAAACTCAATTTCCATGTCTCAGATAACTTGGATGAACGAATTACTTTATTTTTATCCAACCCCTAAATCATGAATACATTTAAATTTAAATTTTAATAATCCTCTATAAAATTCAGTAGAAAAGCAACAGAAATGATAATAATTGTTACCTGAAGTTAAAGGTCTTGTTTCTGCAACAGTTGGCAAAACATTCTCATTTGCAGAAAGTGAAACAAAAAAGGAAAATGGCACTAACCACAAGCATAGAGTGAAGTATGCCAATACCTATCAATAATAAAAATGTGAGACAAAGTATATAAATGATAACATATAATATATTTACATTCAACATACTAACACTGTTATTCCTCTAGGTCAATTTATGCTGAAATGGTTCCAAAATTCAATCTTCAAATAATGTCCCTCAGTCTTAACAATTACCTCACTAGAACATAAACTAAAAATTTGCAATATAACAATCATTACTTGCAATATTTACCTGAAGTACCAGCAGTTATCTGCAGTCTAATTCAAAATCTAGACATCCAATATCCAGATCACCAGCAATTTTTTTAGAATTCCTCCGCCCTTGCAGTCTACGGATGGAGAATATAATAATCAATAAAAAGCAGGTGTGTCTAAAGGCGATTTTTCTCCCAAGATTCCTGCTGGTCACTTTCAAGCATCTCCCTGCCCAGGGAAATCACAGCATGACAGATACATTGATTGATGATATATTCATGTTAGCTACAATCACACTTTCAGCCTTTGAGCGGTTGTGGGTGGTTAGCATTTCACTATCTCACCTAAAAAGTGAAGCCCCGAAATACATTTGATTTGGAATGGTATGTTGTGTATATCAGTCTGCATAGGAACTGGCAATTCTCCAGAATGTAATCTCAGTTTCTTTTGTTGGCATACCAGTTCCTCAGAACACAATTTAATGTCAGTTCCTTAGCATTTCGCCAGAATCTTATTCATCAAATATTAAAAACTGTTATGGAACCATGAATGCTAAGAAACTCTGAAGTAACATAGAAAAGTTTGAGGCACTAGATGATACAGCATTTCCACATTTGAATTCCTGCACATAAGACCCTTGATATAAAAAAAGCACATTTCGAAACTGCACCATGTTGAGAATGAAACATTTTACATGATGTTCACAAAAATATCTGTAATGCATGAGAGGAATGTTTCCCTTAATAGATTAGCAAGATTGTTAGTATAAAAGCGGTTGAGAGCTCGTAACAAGAGTAACATTGAATATTAATATTATGAATTAATACTAATATTCAAAGTTAAGTATAAACATAACAGTTCACGTAAGTATTTAGCATAATGCCCTTTATGATTACAAACATTAGGAATAATCTGCACTTATAAAATGTCCATTATAGTTAGTCTAGGTATGTGCATGACAAATATAAGTCCAAAGCACAGAAGCATGCTAATTATCAGTCAGGTCTAACACAAGTAAATCACAGGAGGTGAATAGCACAAAAACTAATGTTTATCAATAAGTGTTCATGTGAATATGTAACATAAGAGAGTCTGTCATAGGTCAGTGAGAGGTAACTTTCACAGAAGTAATTTTCAGTGTTAGCAAGAAATAATTGCATTGCTAGATGACCACATAGGTCAACTAAATTTCTGGAACCTTAAAAATACATAAATAATACAGGTGGAACAAGATATTGCTAAACATATAAAGAATTTTATGGCTTACATTCAGTAACAAAAATCTAGGTAGCTTTAGATTTACCTCTAGGTAATCACAGCACTTAACCTCCTTAATACCTTAAGCTGCACATTCTGAACTTCTGTGCGGCTCCACAGATTTGAAGCACCATGGCTTAACTTGGCAATTCTCAGCTGTATATGTAAAATAGCACAATACATTGTGCTAGCACAAACAACAGTAGCAAAAAAAAATGAAGGAATTTCATATGTTTGAGTTAGCAAGCCAAATTATGATTATTGGAGGAGTTAAAAGTAACAAGAATCAGCAAAACATTCCAAAATTTTTCTGAAGATTTAAATATAGAACCCCTTTTTTCAGCTGCAGAAATGCAAATGATCTCTCAAATGGCCTTCACTTGTTCCTTTAACTCCTCCAATAAGAATTTCATAAGTTTTCTTAATTCCAGGTGCCTTGATTAACTGGATCTAGAATATGCATTTGAGCAACTTTTTCACATGGAAACCTCTATTAATGAATTCACTTCCAATCAGTGCCAAGGGTGCAGGTTAATTAGCCTCTTACCTGGTTTATAAACCTTTGCATAGACTACATACTATTCTATGTCATTAGACACAAGATAAAATTCCTCACTTCATAGAACAAGAAAGTTTCCATTGATGACAATGCTAAAATCATCTGTATTTTGTAAATCAGCACTATTGTGTTAAATCAGCTGTACTTGTGAAATCGCTGAGCTTCACATTGGGTTTAACCATGACTGATTTGACTCAAGGTGGTGCAGGTTGCTCAGAGATTTCAAGATTAGCCTGAACATGAGTTTGCATCAATATTTAGAAGAACATAAAATTTATTCAGTTGTAATGTAGACATCATTTTGAATTACACTGACAGGTCTGACCAGTTTTTAGGAGATTTGAAATTATCTGCATTATTTCTGGAAATAGTACCATTTATTGATAATTTCTGCATCGTTTTTAGAATTTTTCATTTAAAACGTTTAATCAGAAACAATGTTATCATGCAAATTACTATTTTATCATTTATACATATATGAACATAAGCATCAAAACTTTCAGTTGTAGTACTTGATATTAAGTACTTGATTTCAGTACTTGATATTAAGAACAGAAATAGAGTTACAGTCTAGTACCATTAAAAACAATATTAGCATACCAATTATTAACCCTTTGACTACTAACAGGACATATATGTCTCACTAGTTTACCATTATTTAATACAACTGGTAGCACTAAATCCTTTGCACTTGTCTTGCATACATAGTAGAATCACTTCTGAGGCCTTGGTTCTCACATGAAGTGCTACTTAAGTGGTACTGAGACGCTAGTTGAGCAAATGCAAAAGTTTCCAAGGAGATATGCAAAAATCGCAGATCTTGTTTAATACCCTTCATGTACACACACCACACACACATAATCCTCATCATTTCATACATCCTTCCATGGCAAAATTCTTGTAATCAAGTTCAGAATAGGCTGCAAAGATCACAGTAATTTCTTTGTCTAACAGTTCCATAAAGAAACTACTGAGCATGAAGAATTGAAAATCACAAAATGATGTTCTCTCCTTACACAATTGGGAGAAATTGGTCAGGTCAAGAAATGGTCAGAAAGCAAATATTCAAACAAGTACCTTAAAAAGCCACGGAAAAATAAGAAAGGTATAATGGCACAGCCAAAGGGATACATAGATATCCTATATGATTGGAATAACATCTTCTACACCAAATAAATGAGTATGGGAAAGATTTAGGAAAGCACATGGATTATATGATGGCCACTTACTTTCCATTCTGGAAAAAAAATGGCAGAATTAACTGGTACCACAGAAAAAACTGTGAATACTGCATACAACTTTGCTGCCATTAATAGTAGCAGCAATTACCCACCAGCATTTTTTCTATCAAGCTGTACTCAGAGAAAATTCCCGTGCATTAAATTCTCTGAGCTCAGAGGCATGCAATGGTGATTTAACATGCTTAAACTAAAGACAGATTTGTTGCAGACACAAATTTATAGTATAATCCCAGGTGTGTCGATGAAATGCTAAACTATCGTTCCTGTACATCACTGACTGCTCTTCTCAATCTTTACAATACAGTGAGGTGGGGTACTTTTCCTAGTAAATGGAAGAAAAGTATTGTCTTTCCCTCAGTTATGTCATGGAAGTTTCAGAGTAATCCCCTAACTACTGATCCACTGCTCTTAAGAGTAGAGTTTGCAAGCTATTTGAAAAAATGGCAAACTGCTGTTTAGTCTATTAAAAAAATATGACATAATCTCGCCTTATCAGAGTAGTTTCCATAAAAAGAGCAGCATTCCTTCTATCCTTATAATACACTTCTTTTGGAACCCTTCATCCATAAAGCCTTTTCAAACGAAACCATCTCGTTTCCCTTTCGACATAAAAAAGCTTATAACAAGACATGGAGATGTACAGCATTCTGAGTGATCTTCACACTAGTCACTTACATGGAGGCCTGCCACATTTTATACACAATTTTTGAAAGGAACGAACCTTCTTAATAAGGATTAGCTCTGTGTTATCAGATATTTTCTGTCAACAAGAGGGTGTGCCTCAATGGTGATTTAGTCTACAAATCTCTTTGTACAATACTAATAAAACAATAATATAAGACATTAACGGAATTTTTGTATATTCTTAAACCAATAAGCTTTTCATTTGGTGATGCCTCCATTGTTAACATCAGTCATCTCTAGTGAAATGGCAATTGTTGTCTTTGGAAATGGCAACTGTTGCCAAAAAACTTGGAAAGTTAACTTTTTTTGTTATAGCTTAGTGAAATCAATCATTGAAACGATCATAGGTGTTTTCTTTTCGCACCATTCATTTTGAATTCTCCTGTACTTTAAAAGGAGAAAACATTGTGAAACTGTCATTTAAGATCAAAGTTAAACAGATATTCCTCCACAGCTTTATTTGAGTAAGGTGTGCGGGTAAATTCCGACCTTATAAAAATGCAAACTGGGAACTATGTTGCAAAGATTTCCATGAAGAGGCATATAGCATATGTGCACCTAAGGTGGGAATGAAAAAGAAGAGACTACTATGTAATGACATGTGAAAGCCGTCCTTCGAAGTTTAAGCATGTTATTCATTAAAGCACATCTAAAACATGCTTTAACCCTTTAAAGGGCACCGTATTTAAAATATACCGGTTGTTTGTCAATTTTTTAACCTCTTAAAAAATGCTAATTTTTCTATACCAAAAGCTGTAATTGTAAGTTTCTAGAGTTTCCTTTTCAAATGGCAGCACTACCCTATGAATGCTCAATATTTTGCAGTTATGAAATTAATATACCTTGTTTCAAGGTATCATGTTTGAAGATTCATAAATTCTACTGGAGAGGAAGAAAAAATTCAAAATCTGCATATATATGATGTACAACACATGCTGAATCTTATATATTTATTTCATTCAGTCAGAAGTGATAATTAACAGATTATTTATGCGAATTTAAAACCGGTATATAATATATACCAGTGCCTAATGCTGAGGGTGCCATGCCAATAGGTGGCAGAACCAGGCTTCTCCTTTTCTACTCCTGTGAGATGACAGAATTTCTTTATATTATAATTTATGATGTAATAATATTTTTATGATTAATTTACAAGTTGTTCAAGATTCAATTTTATGTTCATGAGGGGATGAGGACTTAACTGACCCTGCACTAAGACTGAATACATGTATATTAGTTTCTTTTTATTCTTTGTTTACTACACTCGAGTTTCATTCATCTCTGTTTAGCTCAAATTTTAATTTCAGCACTTCACCCTTTTCCAGGAGAAAGACTCGTCGATTTCAAACTTGTTGTCTGGAGTCAAAACGTTACACAATTGTAGGGGTTAAATGTGGCACGTCAGCCCCAAAAGACACCCGTTGTTTCATGTTTTCCAAAATCCTAGAATGCTGTGAAAATGAAAAGCACAAAGGGAAAGCTTACTTAAAAATATGGGAAATGGAAATGCACTTTAGGTCCATATCTTAGTGTAATAAAAAAAAAACTGCTGATTTGAAAGCATGCTTAATTCTTTAGCATATCATCTTTGTTAATTTGAGATGAAACACTAGGGAACATAAATTTTACCTATGGGTTAGGATACAAATAGGTTGTTTTCTAAATAAATTTTCACAGTTGGTAAAAGGAGAGAAAATATTTCTGTTTTAGGCGCAAACCAAAATTTATCCAAAAGTTGAAAAGGGGCCCCTAGGAGGACAAATGGGTTGAAAACCGAAATAAGAGCTTTGAGGTATATCAAATAATAAAATCATTTAACGGCGTTTCGTCCTGAACAAAGATATATTACAACAAAGAACATTATATTTACAAAAAAATAAAAAAGGGTCATTACGGTCCTTGATAATGCACGAAGCATTGTCTTTTTTATATATTATCTAAAACATAAAGTATAATAACTTCAAAACAGCAACATACTTTCTCAGCTGAGTCACAGTGTTTCATTTTTCAATTTTTTGGCTGAGTTACATCTTGTAACATTACACAAGCTCAGTTATAGTGTGATACGGTTTATGTATGCAGTGTTATATTTGCTAAATTTTTTCATAAACTAATAATATTGAATTTAAATCAAGTTTAATAGCTTTTTACCCATATTTTACATAAGTATGTTCAGCTGGGTTGCATCAACAAAGTGCATAAAAAAATTATTTTTAAAATTTTAAATTTCAAGTGAAATTTTAAAAGTCTTTGTCTTCAGACTTACATAACTATATTCAAGCAACCATCTCTACAGCTGAACATCAAAAGTGCGTAATATTAATTTAAAAAACAAAAATTAACAATTGGCAGCTACCTGGGGAAAAAAAGTCTTAGAAGGGCACAGGTATAAAATATATACCGCATCTCAAAATTCAGAATTTTGCTCTAGATTTTTTTAAAGTCTCAATTTTGTGTTCTTAGGGTCCATAAGTTACAATTCACGCAAAATTTTACCACAATTTAAATTATTTTATATACTGTCCCTCAAAGGGTTAAAAAAATGGCTTGGTTTTAATTTCTAAAAACTAGAAATAACCTTTATATAAAATGTAATAACAATGTAGAAGGCTACAGAAATTCATATACAGAGGCAACATATGATGCTAGCATAAGATGGAAGATTTATCTTTTAAGAGATTACATTTTTCAAATATTTCCTATTTATTGTTTTAAGTTGGTCACAATCTAGCGGTTCAGATATGATCTAAGACAAATGACATAGCCTTCCTTGTCTTGTATGACTACAATACTGCAATCTCTTGATTAGAAATTAATTTAAGTTTGATTTTAATAACTGTTCAAGTTAAAGGCTAGTATGCATCTCGTGGTTTTTTTCTTATAAATGAAAACATGTAACGACTTATGAAACCATAATAAAGGGAAAATATCTTAATTAGCATGTATTAATCATAAAATCATGCAGACTGTTGCTTTAGAATGGATAGTATACATAAGAGTAGTAATTTAAACATACTGCCTTTAGGAACCTTATTACTGCCTTTAGGCTTGCTTTAAACATACTAGAGTCATCTTGTCATCCCTAAAACGTTCTGCTATTATCTGTGTGATATGGAATATATATGTGATATATATTTCTTTCCCCTTTGGATTCTTAGATCTCCAACATTTTTCATAGCATGCCTCCGTCTTGAATATTACACAGAAAGTACATACCTTTTGTACAAAATTAATGCGCTATATTGACATTTATCAGTTTATTGTCAAATGTACAACATTCTATATTTTAGAATTAGCCCATAAAAAGGAACTAAAATAGCTAATCCATATGATTTACAATATCTGAGGAACGTTAGCTGTTCATCAAATACATTATATTCTCTTAACTACCACCAGTAAAGCTGACCATCATATGGTGTTGTCATTTCTTCACACTGTACAATAAAATATAATTACAGTATTTATTAAAGTTTTCATATGCAGTACAAATAATATCAAATATTAATGATACAGCATTACTAACAACAGTTTCAGTAACATAAATTATATTTTCAATGTTTATGAAGCAAAACTAATGTTTATGAAGCAATCTACAGTTTAATTTGATACTTAATTCCCTGTAATGTGAAATTTATGTCAACATCATGTACAAAAATGCCATTTCACAATGATTAAATAAAATGAACAAACACTAGAGTGATGAAAATCTAATAAGAGTACATACATTAAGTAACAGAAGAAGTAACCAAAAAAGCCAAGTGATGATGATTATTATTTTTCTAAAATTATTCATTTTGTAAACATATAATGAAATTACAGACTATATAAAGTTAACCTTACCTCAGAAAATGGATAATAGATGGAAGAAAAATACCTAAATGCTAAATAATGATTGATAGCAACGAAAGCTGAAAGAAAAAGTAAACAAAATCAACAAAAGCAATTCCTTTACAGTCAAACAAAACAATTTAAAATGAATAATACTAAATTACATAAGCAGAGATAAACAAGTTCAACTTGAGATTTGTACAGCGTATCCAGTAAAGGAGTCCTTGATTTCAAAATTGAAAATCTCGAAAACAAAGATCAATACAGAAATACAACAAGTGGTATATTTATTGTGAAAGCTGTCAAAATGTAATACAGAAGTTTTGAAATAATAGTTACAAAAGCTGCCGACAGATGGCACTGTAATCACAGTACACAGCATTTATAAATAGCACTGGTAAAGATATAATAACAATCAGTTCCAATGTTGAAAAGTGAAAGGAGGTTAGCATGTACCGAAGCAAGAGGTTGAAATCATGTATTCTATTGAACAGTGTGTGTTACTGGTACTGAATACCACAGATTAAGAGCACAGTCATATGGCAACAAGGTGTAGTTTTCAAACACAATTTAATGTTGCAAAACAAACCCGATGTGAAAACCATTAGCAAGCTCTTCACTGAATTCCAATGGATAGGCAGCGTGGGTGATCATCTGATAGGGAATGTTGGTCAAAGGCAAACTGTAGTTACTCCTGAAAAATCTCGCCGTTTCTGGAATTATTCATCAAAATACAAGAAAATCTATCCAAAGAACTACAACAGAGAGTGTTTGAAGCATTCCAGCATGCAGAAAATACTGAGAAATGCCTAGACATGGTTCTATTAAAATCCAAAGTCAATTATTCAAAATCCAAAGGCGCATACAGACCATACCTGTATGAGCTACGTGACAAAGGACTGACTTTGCGAACCACATTCTCACAATGATTGATAATGGATTTGATGTTGGCCATATATGGTTCACAGATGAAACATACTCCCACGTGAATGAGTTTGCAAATAAATAAAACTGGTGATTGTGTGAACCGAAACAACTGTATTCTCCAAAAGTTATTTTTTGAGATGTGGTACGCAGCAGAGGCATTATCGGTTCTTTTTTCATGCGAGACACAATCACCGGCAAAAGTTACATTGCAATTTTGGAATAATTTGTTGTCACACAGCTAGCGTTGAAGAAACGACCAAGCACTGACTGGTTTATGCAAGATGGAGTCCAACTACATCACATCAAACAGGTGTTTTGCTTTCTTGAAAATGTTTTACTTTGAAAACAGTCACTGCATTGGATTATTCAAAAATTTACTGGCACAGGCATGGACTGGCCTCCATATTTTGCCCAATCTGGCTCCTTGTGACAGCTTTTTGCTGGGCACATTGAAAGACTCTGTTTATCAGAACAATCCAAATCACAGTGGATGAGCTTGAACTAAATCCATTCCCAACTGAGACAATGCAGGATGTGACAGCAAATTTCACTTCATTTCCGCCATCATGAACTGCGAGCAGTGGACATTTCAAAAAGAGTGTGATATATAGCACAGACTGCTTGCAGAGGATAAGTTTATGCATGTTGATACAAGTGGTACAACATCATCTGTTGACAGATTTTGTAACTGTTATTTTGAAACTTTTGAAAAGACTGTTTGCAGAGGTCGAGTTTATTTATGCACATTGATACAAGCAGTACAGTGTCATCTCTTGTAACTAGCAATTCATGTAATTATTATTTTGAAATTTCTGTATAACATTCTTACAGCTTTCACAATACATATACTGCTTGTTGCACTCCTCTTCTGTTCTCTGTTTTCGAGACTTTTAATTTTATAATCAGGGACTCCTTTGCTTGACACCCTGTATATGCCGACAACAAGTTCACTTTAATTAGAAAACATTACAGATGACATTAAAGTAAATATAATATTGATGAATCAAAATAACCTTATGACAAAAATATGCTCAATTAGAAAGCCTGACACATTTTTCTTCACATCATTGTGCAACTCGAAATGAAATGTTTCACTGACATTCATAGAGGATTAAAAAATATAAAACATGCACAGTGACTGACTAGGTTATGGTCTCCTTTTTAAAAGAGACTAATTTTTGCATCATGACCTTAGAAACACAAGGTCATGTGTAATCCTTGGATAATACTAGGATAACCTTTACTTGTTCTTGCTAAATACTAGGATAACCACTTTACAAAGTTACTCAACACTTCATCTCTTTTCTACATTGCAATTAGATGTATGAATCCAGATAAACCACCACTAACTTATGCCCTTAAAAATCAGAAAGTGGAATACCTTTACATTAGACACATACAGTACGCCAACAATTTGTGCATCTAATCTCACATTTACTCAATTTCAATTTCTCTATGCAAATCTGTTTCACTGTGGACAGCTCAAAGGTATTTCAAAAACACTGCACAACTTAATACCGTTTAGACAGTTGGTCTCGCACACACAATGTTCCAGTTAGAGAAATGAACCAAATAAGGTAGACCTTCCAGTCCATGATTTATGATATTTTGTCAGACATTTTTTGGTAAAAATTTATATAATTTAAAATATGGACCTCATAAAAAAACACACCCAATAAAAATTGGACCTCATAAAAAAAAACACACAATAAATGCTTATGCATTAGTACAACCACCTAAGCAGAAGTTCTCAAATTTTTAGAATGTACCAGTCTAATAAATATTCACAAAAAAAAAAATTCTTCAAATAGCCATGACAATGTATATATTATTTCTTCAGTTTAACAAACAAAGTCGCCATTTTTATCGCTTGTTGTATTCCAAAGACTTCTATAGACAAGTTGTAGCAAAACAGGCACTTGTGAGATTTGCCTGCAATGGAAGAAACTGTGAAAATATTTCTGAAAGAACATTTTGCCACAAAATTCCAAAAGAGAACAACTACTCTGGACTGCGGGAGGGAGAGGATTGCAGGTAAATAGGTTTAATTTGATTTTCAAAATTAGTAGCTAATTAAAATATAAAATATGTTTGTAACAAAAAATCTTTTGCAATTATAAGTAATTATTCCTTTTCTTCGGTAAAAAATCACTTAAGTGTACTAATGTGGTTGCAATAATATGCAAGTGCCTGCTTTTCATATCTAAAGCAGCCAAACCTGCTGTGCCCCTTCCCCCACAAAAATTGTCAGATAAATATTTATGCAGAAGAATGAGTTTCAAGTCCTTTTTATGCAAAAATAACAAAACATCCCTAAAATAAGCATATCTACTTTGGATGAATGTGGTTTAACATATTTTCAAGGTCCAATTTGCATATCAGAGACCTTCCTGTCTTCTAAAAGATATTTAACAGAATAAGGGAAAACTCAGAATTTTCACTGTAAGTGTGATATAAAGTTTAAATTCATATATTTTCACTAAAATCTGTCACATGATCAAAATCATCATAAACCAAAAGTATATTTTATATGATGCATTTCCCAAATTGGAATCATGGATTTAAATTCACCATCTTTTTTAAGTACACTTAATATGTGCAGGCAATTCCCAAGCTATGAACAAAACATGTTCCTAAACACATCTTTAATAGGTTTTACATGCAGCTTCAATCAGGATGAATCGTATATATGTGTGTGTGTGCATATGTTAGTATGCATAATAAAGAAAATTTAGTAATATTGATGGCAGAGAATGTTGATTCATAATGAAAAGAAAGAATGGCAGCCGAGGCAGATTAAACATTCATCTTTTATTTCAATCGACATAGTGGCCACAATTCACTCGACACTCTAATCATGTCTATTCACAAACATTTACATTTTTGATACTGTTACCAGAGGAAGAGAGCAGCGGGGCACCATCTTAATGAGAACTGAGGGTAGAAGGAAAGTGTACAGTTGTCCAATATGGAAGCTCACCAAGAGAAAGGTTTCAAATCTCGAAATTTTGAATTCAATCCAAATTAGCTTTGTCATCAATGTTATGCAAGTCATATGATATAGAATGAGCTAGAAACAATGCAGTTCAGAAAGAGTTACTATTATTTTTAGAACAAAGAGGGAAAACATCCAAATTAAAAATGAGGAATTAAGGGGCTATTGCTAATTTAAATTGAAATTTTGATTTACATATTTTTATCTAACATATTGCCCCCCTTCAAAGAGAAAAAATCTTGGCCACATGAAACACTTTTAGAGATATAGCATTGAACCAATAGTAAACGAAGAAAGATTATATTAAATACAAATCACTAAATTTGGTCCAAAATAATTGTTTGAATAATTGAAAAATATACACTTTGATAATATTTTAGAGTCCTACGAAAGTTTTCAGTCCAAAAGTCTGTATCCACATAATCACAGTTTTTTCAGGGAAGGCATTTCAAAACTTTTCACACAATATCACAATTATAAAAAAATTTATTCACCTATTACTTATTCTCGATAACCGCAACAGATTTCAAAATTTCATCACTAATTTTCATTACTAGAACTTATATTTTATCATCATAAATTTTATATTATTATTACTGAAATTATGGTTCTTCTGTTGATACTACATTTCTAATTTTCTTATCTTACACTAAACTGGAAGACCCCACAGTTTTCTCCAAATACAAATGTATCCATCTGTTGGGGAAATCCACTTAAACTGACTGATGTATGAATATTTATTAGCATCTAAGGGAAGCTCAAGTTATTTGACAAGCCCTCCATTCCTTGTTTAAATGAAACTACCAGCCTCTTTGAACTGCACTAAAATATTTCATTTGCATTAGAAATTTAAATTTCACTCAATTATAAAAAAATAATAATAATAATAATTATGTATGAAAAACTTCAAGGCAGGAGCCTTCAAAGCGTATATCGTATGCAGAGGGTAAAAGGAACAATTATACTGAGATAATAGGCCTCTGTTTCCAAACCAGTACTCCCTTAACATTTTCTATATTTTACACCCCTTCACATATAACATTAAATGAACATTCATCCACCACATACATTAAAATGATTTTTTCTTAACCATTTCACTTTTTAATTATATAAAGAATATTTATTTTTATTACAATTATTCAATTTTAAAATTGTTAATGTTATATATTCATTTCGATAATGCTAAAAGTTACGCTTTGTGTCATTGGAACATGGAGCAATCCATTAACATGAAGTTTTGTTTCAAGTTAGGGAAAACAACAGACTCACGGAATGTTAATGCAAGTGTAGGATGTTGAAGCAGTGAATAAAATGTGTGTTTTTGAGTGGTTTAAAAGCTTAAGAGATGGAAAAGAAGGTGTCGAGAATCAGCTGTGTTCGTGTCAACCATCAACAAGCACAATCCCAGACAACATCAAATGACTGCGACGAATGTCTGTGGATGATTGACACTGTCTTTGAGAATGATAGCAGAAGTGTTGAATATCAGCAAAGCACACATGTTGAACATTTGAAAACACAAAACATCTATGCCCGATTTGTACCGCACAGCTGACAGACAAGCAGGGGAAAAAACTCAGATGGAAACATCTGGAAATTTCATCGATATGTCTACCAGAATCTACAGTTTTTTTAAATCATCACAACAGGAGATGTAACCTGGTACTACCAATACAATCCAGAGACCAAGCAACAATCAATGGCATGGTGTTCATCATCTTTCACACCTCCCAAAGATTAATACAATGTTTATTCAACAGCAAGGGCTTCATTCATCCTGGATTTCTATCCCAGATTTAAACTGTCAATGCTGAAGTTTATGAGGGAGTTTTGAAAAAGCTGCTGCACTGCATCTGGTGGGTTCATCCAGAATTCCACTGGAATGTACAGTGGAATTTCCTCCATCAAAATATTGTGATCCTCGTGCTCAACGTTCTCCCTCAACGCAAGGTGACTGTTCTTCAACACCCTCCTCATTCTTCAGATTGGTGCCAGCAGACTTCTTTTTGTTTTCCCACCTTAAATTAGTCCTAAAATACTTATGCTTTAGAGATGTTGTGGATATCCAACAACGCGTAAATTACAGTGCTTTGAGTGATTCCACAAGACATGTTTGGCAATTGCTGTCGGTTCCCAAGAGCTTCACAATCAATGTCAGAAATATGCAGTAATAATAATGATTACTTTGAAGGCCAGTAAAGGTATTTTGTTTGCAATTCTTGTTTCCTTCATTTTTCTGAGCAATTAATAGAACACATCTTGTATTTTAAATTCAGCATGATAAAAAATTACCAATTCGCTATTCGATTACAATACAAAATATTCTTAACTGCTCACAAGATGAATAAATTACTTCAAAGATACCAAAACATGTTTAAAGCATATACTATTATCATGGTAAGAACATTAAATGAACTCGCATGTTTTATACCTGCAAAATCATTTAAAGAAAAGAAAATCTTGCTAATTTTAATAATTTTTAAACAACAATTAATATGCTTTTCCAAAATTGCTAAATCAAAACTATAAAATTTTAAAGCAAAGCAAAGGCATCATGCTAAGCTGAAATCTCATAGCACTTTTATCAATTTCACATTACTGAAAAGAAGTGCAGTTTATTCCATCGAAGACATCTCTGTCAATTTACATCTAAAACTGAAGTAGATGAAAAAACATCTGACCTCATCCTTGAAATCCATTTATTATAAATATTCAGATTGAACTTTTAAACACTAGTAGATCACACTAAAACAATGACTAACATTGAGCATCTTATATAAGCAAGGATTTAAATAGACGGTCAAAATTTTATGCAGGCACAAAATAAATGTTTAGCATAGCGAAAAGCTAAACAGGATGGCTTCACTGTAGAATTCATTGACTCGGCACATTACTTTGAAGATCCATGCATCCTTTTGTAGATAAATTTCATGTTGAAGAATGCAGCATTAATTTTATCTTGATGCATGGAAACTTTTTGCTGAAAAATGAATTTTTCCAATGATGTACCCACGCTCACTACATTCTGTCTGACTCGATGTAATGAAAGCAGCAGACTTTGAAGTAATGATGTAGAAGCATTAATAGCATAGAATGTAAAATGTTGAATTCATAAAGAACAGTAAACTTGGCAGCTGAAGCAGATTAAATATTCATCTTTATTTCCATTGACGTTTGCAGGCACAATTAACTTACTCTAGTTGGGCCTGTTCAAGGATATTTACATTTTTTATACTGTTGCAACAAAGACAGCAACAAGTGTTTTAGTGAGAAGAGAGAAAAAAGCAAAGTGTGCAGTTATCCAATATGAAAGCTTACCAAGATAATGGTTTTAGTTCTTGAAATTTTGAGTTCAAGTTCTAAATCAGCTACATCATCAGCATTATGCAATTCATATGATATGGACCTATCTAGAAATAATGCAGTCCATAAGTAGTTATTGCTATTTATAGAAAGAATAAAGATGGGAAATACCCAAATTAAAAATGAGGAATTAAGGGGCTATTGCAGACGTATACTTCCAGTTACAAAAATATTTTAAATAATGCAAAAATTAATCTTTTAATATTTTTAGATTTAAAAAATAAATGTTATAAATATTACGACATTTAACTTTTTACACATTGTTCCAGTCATTAAACTCACAGTTATGAAAATTCCAAACTTGTTATAAAAGAAATACAAAAAATGTGATTCTTGTGAGACAAAAATTTACCAAGATATTTCATTTTAAACTTGAAGATGACATTCAGGACCCATACGTGAAGTGAAGAACGTAATGTTTGCATTTGTACATAACAGAAAATAAAATATTCATTTAATAGGTATCTTATGTTAATAAATTAAGTGATGAGCATCCCAATTCATATAGTCATGAAATTAATGATCAACATAAAGTGCTACAAAAAAATCCTATTCACAGAATCTTACAGATTTCGTGTTCTTGAAAACAGTTCTGACACATAGCCAACTCAGAATATTATTTTCATGTATATTAAAAATAAAAATATTTCTATTTTAATGAATGTTTTGTATGATTATTAGATAATAATTCTAAAGTAATAAATCTCCATGAGAATACATTAAACCATTTTTAGCTTCTGAAAACTTATCAATTACTTTCATGAATAAATGAAAATTCTTCCAGCATACCAATTTTAACAAAATTATAAATTAAAGTATGTTACACTGTAGGGTAGTTAGTTCAATTAACCAACTATCCAAATTTTGTTATCCTCAACTTCCGCTCAAATTTCTTTGCCAGGATGCTAATTTAAAGTTAAGTGAAATAAATATTTAAATGGGTGAATCTTGGAGTTTACTCAGAGTGTGTTTTCGCTAGCCAGCCACGTTATGATTCTGACCTTGCTGTTATGTGAAGCTGCTAATACACCTTTTGGCCATTTAAATAATTATCATGCTGGGTAGGCTGTCGAGTCAACCTAATTAGCCTTAACTTAAAGTGCTAGTCCAGCACTACTCTTTAGACTTGAACTGATTTGTGTAACAACTCTTAAGTTCCAATGAAAGTTGTGTAAAGCAAGAAGTATGTCCCTTTCTATTCATAGTTGGTAATAATAAAGAGTTATTTTCACACCTGTGTGAGAAGTTGCCAGGTTCCTTAGTAGGATCTAGTAGGATTTATGTGGCCAAAGAGAGTAAGATCCTATAACACACTAAGAAATTACAAAAGAATATCACTGAATGACATTTAAGGAACCTCAGATTATTTGCAGTTATATATTAACCTGCTTATCAATGCAAGTGGAAAATATCAAATATCCCAAATTTTGAGATAAAATATCCAAGTCAATTTTTGTCACACAAAAGTCACACTTTTTATTTTTTTTAATAAGTATAAAATTTTCCAAAATATTGGAGCAACCATACAAATAGTTAAATTTTGTAATTTTTATAACCTCTTTTTTATATTTTATTTTTTTATTCCAGAACATGAATACTTACAGTGTTTAAAACATTTCTTCCATACTTGAAAGTAATGTTTCCAACCAAAATTTGTGAAAATGAAGACCAGACAAGGACTTAAATGGACACAGTAATGGTAATAATAACAATGATTCATGCAATAATAATTAAATACAACATAATATTTAAACTAACATAATAAAAATAATAGCCTTGAATTGAAATACATTACAGAGTTACAGAGAGTGCACTCACAGTTTTAATTCCAAACAAACCCATTTAAATATTTCATATGATGGATTGGAAAAGTGTAAAATACAGAGAATAATTTGGACACTAAATACTCTAATTTACTCAAAGGGAGTATTTTTGATGCAAGTAGTCAGTCTAACTTTAATTGGAAGTTGATGAAGACTATGGTGATAAAAAGGATGAGGTGGATGAAGAAGAATGAGAAATTGATTTACTCTGGAGGAAAGGTCATAAAAGTGAAGACAAAAGTGGTATTGTGGGATTTACATACAAATTATATTATACTAGCTACTAGTATAAAGATGCAGAAATGGTCTACCAACAAACTGCTTATACCAAGGGATACTTGTTTACATGCACAGAAGATTGCACAGTCCTTGAATTATTAGTTTCATTATGAATTACTTTACAAAGAACTTTAGAAAACAGTTTCTGGGTCTTCTGTACATGCACAGACTAACAGCTGCATGTTACTCCACCACATACATTCAATTTAAAATTTATATCACTTACCTATAGATCCAATGAATGGAACTGATGTTAAATCAAAGAAGGGAAAAGTTCTTAGCACCAAAAAGTGCATAACTTGACTAATAATACCACAAATTATCATTGATGCGGGGAAGTCTTCAAATAAAAACATCCCTCCATATATAGCCATAGTGAACTGAAAGATAATTGAGAAATTAGTTTTAAGGAAAAAATTTACATTATACACAAGTCATACACATTTTGACATATATATATGTCAAAATGTATATATATGTCTATATATATATTAAAATTTTATATATGCAAGTTCAATTGCAAACAAAATAAATTAGTCATTGCTGCGAACTAATTTGCAATATCATTCAATTCAGAAAACATTAAATAAAGTACAAGCATGTAAATAAAAGAAAAGCATAATACAATTCTAAAATTTTATCTGAAAAACTTTAAAAATATTTTTCAAATGAATTTTAATTTGCATAAAGTGATTATACATGTAATATAAACAAAGTCAGAAGTAACTAAAGAGCAGGAAGAGGAATTCTGATGCCGAAGAAGTGCTGATCCATAATGACTAGGGAACTGGAGGCGAATGCAGATTAAATCTTCAGTTTTATTTTCAGCAACATGTAGTGGCTACACACAAGTCGGCATATTAAATGTGCCTGTTCCAAAAGGCTTACATTTTTTATAACTTTGTAGCAAGAAAGCAGCAGCAGATAGACAGCAGTCTAGCTAGGCCAAAGGGTGGAAAGCAAGTGTGTAATGTTCAGGGTGAAATCTTAAGTCAAACTGAATTAGTTCTTGATTGGATAGTGAATACTGCTGTAAAATTATTATTGGCTGCTTAAGTTTTAGTTCAATTTACATCACACTTAAGATTCATATGACATAAGATTTTTCTCGAAATGACGCAGTGCAGAGAAAGGTTACTATTTTTAGATATGAGAAGGGAAATGTACGTTGCTAATTTAATCTTTTACATATTCCTTTTCTTACATACATATATATACATACACACACATATATATAATATAAATCTCTGTTGCATGCTTTTACATTCTGAAGAATAACAGTAATAATACAGAAAACAGCACGTAGAATAAGAGCATGCATGAAAAATTTTAGAAGAATACCTCTTCTTTGTACAAAAATAATTTACAGCATTTTATATGTAAAGATGAAATATTCTCATCAAAACTAATATTAGAATTATGCAGCAAAATAATTATTTTTTAGTTAGTAACAAATCTACAGATGAAGTTCAGACTTCCACATTTATTTGTTATACAAAAGGTCATGGTTGATTAAAATCACAGCTGAGGGTAGAGATAACGCTTTTCATTATGTTTGTAAATTTTCCAGATTCTTTTCAAACTATCACATTTGACTGTTCTTGGGTAATACGCATTTCCTCTCCATTGGTAACTAACATCATTAAACAAAAACCTCAGTTACTAAGGTGGCAATTTTATTGCTAGCAAATCTATTAAATCTGTAGTATTCCTGAGGAAATCAACAAATGTATCAAAGATGGCCACTTCTGCATAAAAATAAGGGAGACTAAACAAATGGAACATTACATCAGCTTTAACTCAAAACTATGAAATGAAGAATATTCTCATCCATGGCTTCAGGTTACATCAGAGTTGTAAGTGTATATGAAACAAAGAAAGTTTGTAAAGGGTGGATGAAGGTGGATTTTAAGGGGGATGAAGGAGATTGTTATATCAATATAAAAAGGAAGCCCTACCCTTCATTTGCAACAGTGAGAAATTCTTGGAATATCTGATCAGCCTAGTTGTAACTTTCACATTTTAGAGAGGTCAGAAGCAGCAGTGGAAGTATCATAGACTTTTTCTTCAGCGTCAGTACAACTGCTTTCTGCACGTCAACAGTCACCTGCATGTCAGCATGACTACTGACATGCAGTCATGCATTGATTTTCCCTTTAAATGTCAACAGTCATGAGAAAGCAATAACACTAATACTGAGGTTCAAGTCATTAGGCCTACCACTTAACATAGCTCCTGTAAAGGTTATAGCTATACATTTGTATCAAAAGAAACTTCAAAAATTCTAAAATAAATATCTCATAATCATAAGATCACCAATAAAAAGGTGATTTGTGAAAACCTCATAAGCTACACAGAACTAATGAATTACTGATGCATACTTATTAATTTTGCTTCTGACTGCTCCAAAGAATAGAAAATTCTACATTTAGCTAAAATACAAGTAATTTTTATATTATGCTGAATGTACTGATATGCCAGTAAAAAGCAAAAAAAATTGTTTCTCAGTTTTGAATCTTAAATATTAACTACTGCCTCATGGAAGCCTTGTTCAATTCCTCTTAGGAGTAAACACTTCAGGCCAATTTCTAGATTTATCTTTTAAAGGAAAAGGTAGCTTTGCCACTAAAACTTAAAGCACCTCCTTGTTTGCCCATCTCCTTCATGGTCCTTCTAAGCAAAATAGTTCATATTTATATTAAACTGATGAAAACACTGGCCAACTGGTCTCTAGGAATGAAACCCACAAAAATACAGTGCTAGACATCTATTAACGAATGGCGAGATTTTGTGGCAAAACTGAATAACATAAGATAGATACTGTTCCAGAAAATTAAAATATAATTAACCCTTCAGCAGTTGCGAGATTAAGCAATTCTTTCTTCCTAAATATGCATGATATCTGTCAGTTGTAAATTTATAACATGGGTTATGTTTGTCTGCACCCACTGTGGTGCATAACTGGAACAAGGGCTGTTCAAAACCATTGACAGGTTAAACAATGTATCTTTATTAAACTGAAATAGTACAGATTCAGACCAGGGGAAAAGAAACAGAAAATCAAAAAGAAGACCTATGCATAATCAATGAGTAATCATAGAAAATGAAAATGCCGTGTGAATGGAAAACAATCAGTTGATAACATCAGCTCTTCAAACTCCAGTTCATGCACACTATCTTAAAGACTGTCCAGATATAGTGTCAGAATATTTTCTCATTCTTTCTGCAAGACATTTTGGAGTTTTTGTGCATTTTGGCAAGATGCTCTCCCTGGCCCACAACATCTAATGCAAACATCCCACGCCTATTCAGTGGGATTGAGGTTAGAAAATATGCAGACCACGTTATGTAGATGACAACTTTACACGACCTGATTCATATCATCTGCCCTGTAATTCTGAACAATGTCATGCATAGAAAGTTGAACATACCCCCCACCCCCCGCAGAAAAAATGAATGTGAATTACACCTACTTCTGCACAGTACCTCTGTGTCAGATCTAATGCAAAAATATGCAAGTGCTCTGGCATCATAAATGATCCTTGTTTATACCATTACACCCCAAACATAACAATCAACTTCTTAAGCATACCATTCGTGGTAATAAGTTCTCTGTCTCTACCAGATAGCTTAATGGCCATAACGACTCTGAGCAACTAACTCTGAACTAGGATTACTCTAAGAACATCACCATCAATCATGTCTCAGTTGATGCTCCCTTTGCAAGAGTGCAATACAGCCAGATGGCAAACCAATGATAGAAAGCAGATCTAGCTGAATTCCATACACATAACCTAAACAACAAACTTTAACAAAATATGGTTTGAGCAGATGCACAGGTGCCTATAATACTCCTAATGAATAGAGCAACTTGTGCATATGTAGTGCTTCTGATGTTTTCCACTGCAGCAAAAACATACTAATTATCTCTCTCTGTTGCATTTCTTCTGCATATGCATATGTATAGCTGCTCCTTTGAATTCGGCAGATGTTATTCAATTGTGAAATGATATTTTCTGAGACATCCATTGCTACTGTAACAGTAATAATTTATCTTATTTTGAGGGATCCAACTGCTCTTTGCAAGTATATTCATACTTACATTTACATACTCAATTAAGTAATATCATGGAGGTATTTCACAACTGATATTTATTGCAAATGATACTATTCCTCAAACAAATATATGATGTAATTTCCAAAATGCAAATGAGATTTTTACATTTCTACTGCCTGCAGCTTACTTCAAATTAATAGCAGCTCAACTCACTTTGATCAGGTATTTCATTTACTCTTAAAATATATTCTGTAAAATATTACTCACATATCACACTTTTGACAGAAGGTGAACACACTTTCTGCAATATTTTCTTATACCATATCAGAGTCTTGTTTACACTTTTAAGAAGTTTTAACATGGAAATATGCCAACTTTATAATAATTTGACTGACAATCTGCTATAGGAACTCAATTGGACATTATTGGTCTAAAAGTAATATCAGAAAAAAGTTAATTAAAAAAAATCCATATTAATCGTCAAACAGACACCAGAATTTTATTGCTATCAGCATGCATACATTCTACACAGATTAGCAGAGCCTCACTGCTAATCAGAAAACCAAGGGTGTGGTTGGGTTCCTGCATAAGGTTCTGTTTTATATGTATTTCCATCCCTTTTATGGGTCTTCCCCTTCAGTCACCTGCTTATGTATCTCCAGCCTTTTTGTGGGTCTTCATGTCTTCAGTCATCTGCTCTGATGCACCTAGAACAGCATTCTCAGTGACACAACAGAAGATTCAGCAATTCCTGATGAATGCTTAGTAAGTAAGTGTCCAGCCATGAGAGAAAAGACATGATGATGACGAGATTTGGCATGGAGAGGAAAGCACACAGAAAAAAAGCTTTCTAATAAACTATAATACTACAGTTAAATGCAAACTTTGTTTTGCAAGGTGGACAGGGCTCCGCCCTCACAAAACAAAACAGTTAAATATTTAAAAAATATCAGAATCAGCAGAAAAATATCAGAAGTAGAATCAGCAGATTTAGTTTTAAGAGGTAACTGAATGGCAGAAACAATAGTTTACAATTTGTAAGCTATTTGTTAACTTCCTTCCCATCAAAATATATATGATCATTAGCATACTGTTATGAATTTTCCATAAATAGTGTAAATAATTTTAATAAAAATGTGAAATTGTGGTATTTTTTTGTATAATGTAACATGAAATGTTGAAGGGCATGAAGCTCTGCCAAAAAAATAAGATTACAGGAAATAAGTCTATTAAACATTAGGTAAATGGCTATCTCACTAAAATGGCATGATATTGCCTAACTGGTGATGGTTTTGGTAACTAATTTTTGATGCCAGATTTGGCGAGAAATCGCCAAACATCACCAAACTTTGCGATCATTTGGTGACATTTCGGTATGATCCCTTGTATAACTAGATGATAACGTAATTGATCCCTATATGTAACTGTAACCATATCTGGCCATTAGATGTAACTTAAACTGTATATGCCTTCCAGTAATTTTGAGAAATGGAAGGTACTAGATATTTCTCAGCAACCAGGTGAAAACTATATAAGACCGGAGAGTGTGTTTTCTTTCACTTGTTAGTTCAGAGCTGAATTCGGAGTATTTAGATATCATCAGTGAGAGTTTTGCCTTTTAGATGTGCTTTGCATTGCATTGCATTTAAACATTCTCAGTAGTTTGAAGTGCAACTACTGACTGCACTCTGTGATACTGAGAAGAGCTGTACGAGTATTTTTGTGGAAAGTTCCAGAACTGTAAACTGTTTCTTTTGGTAAAATAAATTTTATCAAGCCATCATCGATTCTGTGTGCATTCTACTTATTACGAATAAGTACGCATGTAACAATAGCAATCCAAAATAGAAAATACTGTTTATATAACAAAATATTACAGCTACATATCAGTAATTACTAGATTGAAAAAAGTTCTTGCAGCAAATCATTTAATTTAGTGACAGTAAGGTTTTAAAAATTAAAGGGGTTTTAAAAATTAAAGTGAATATGATTTAATGAAATTCAATGATAGATATTAATTCTTCCATTTCAGAACAACAGAAAAAGAATTCTTGAAGCCTAATCAACTAACTACTGCTCCTTCAACTGAAACTTTAATAGAATGATTTGATCTTTAAAAAGTTCATTAATATATTTGGCAGACAAATGCTCTTAAGGTTAGAGACAAATTCAGAAGAATTCTTTTTATAGTGCAAATACTGTTAAATGACAGAAGAAACTGTGTGACTAAATATTTGCCCAATTACTATTAAGCTTTTCCTAAATTAAAAACAATAGGATGAAAGAAAATACTTAGTTTTAACTTTTAGATAAGCATACTCAAAAGGAGAGCTAACAATACTTGGATTTACTGACTGCTTTAAGCCAGTAAGAACATAAAGCAAGTAAACCGATATATGTCTAGTTACAAGTGCTCACTACAGCAACTGGCAAAGAACAGTACTTGCAGACATCCAACATGCTATGATCCTCCACTGGTACAGATGTAATACACAGTTTATCACTACTGTGTGGCACAGATGCTTATTTTTTATTTGCAATATAGACATTTGTGCTCCAATCTTTCATGATTAAGGCTAGCTCCAAGCACAGTTATTATAGGTATCTGACTATGGTACAAATTTTTGGAAACAACTATCACAAGTGATAGCTAAAAACAAAGGTACATTTTGCTTTTTCAATAATTAGCAGGTTTTATTTACATAGAATACCATATCTACTGGTAACCCAGGGCACTGAAAATGCTGAAGGCGGGCTTTCTCACAATCACATGTAGCATTTTCATTTCCTTGGCCTTTAAATATTCACTTCACATTAATTGTTTGCCCATCACATGCAGCAATATTACAATATGGCAAGCAAACACCTAATAATTCTCTTCTTTTATGTTTTGCCAACAGAATACAATTTACCTTGTTCAAAAAAGGCAATGTTTAGGCACACGCAAGACAAAAGTAATGCTAAATTTATTGACAGAATTTTTGAAAATGTGTTTTTTAAGACCTTTTACAGCTACCACATTATGTGCATCAGCACCAATACAGCTTCTATGCATAATACCAGATCTGCAATCACCTACATTTTCACAATTTATCACATAAATTTCCAGCAAATCCCACACCTTTTTCGTGATATCACTTTCTTAATGAACAGGAATGTATGTTTTGTAACACTCTTAGTAAAAGTTTTCATCATTTAAAAATATACCTAACATGACATACTCCTAAAAAACACATTTGTCAATATGCATTAACTCTACAAAATGAAATTTTTAATGCTCATCAGATAATAATGTAATATTAAGGAGTATAATACATAATTCCAGCTTTCTGTAGTTTAAATCCAATAGTTAGCATCCCATTCTTCAAAATTCCAACATTCATAAAATATGTCATACAATGGAAATGAACAATCCACCTATATTAAGTTCAATACCAGTCAATTCATAGAAAGTGTAGACAAAATTATTATAGTTTAGAATGTGGAAACAATGATAAAAGAATACTATTTAAGGAGCATTATGTAGAAAATATTTCTACAAATGTGTTAAGACAAACGAGAAAAAAATTTTTTTAAATAATTATGAAGGTGGCATACAAAAATTCCTGAATTTCCATAAATGCTCTTTTAACTCACAGCTAGAGAGCTACTCAAAGTAGATAGTTTTAATGTAAGATATATCAGACCACTTAAAGGCCCAGTGAAAAAGCAGCATTTGCCACTGATTTAGCAATACATGGCATTCTTTTGGCAATCACTGATACCTTTTGTTATATTTAAGAACGATCACCAAACTAGCATATTTCTATTATCTGAACAAACACAAAATAAAATCTTTAACAAATGCTATTTGGATATTATTGCAAGATAAGATTTATAATCGCATTTAAATACTTTCTAAGAAGGCATACATATAAACATAATAGAAGAATACAAAACTCCAATATTGGGTTGTGTAAACATCATTCTTTAGACAGCTGATATATATCACCTGCATTCTAATGAACTTAGTAATAATGCTGATGTTTCAGTTATGCAAAAATTATATGTAACTACTTTTAAAACAAAAATATCAATGAATTCCTTTAATAGTACATATACAATATAACATTTATTTAGGACAAATTTAAATAATTCCCTTTAGGCATCACATTTCCACAAGAAAGAAATTTTCAAACTTTCTTCTCTCCCATTACAGTATGGTTTTATGGCAGCTGCCTCTTTTATCACTGACTCCTTCCAGTTGTTAAGCTAAAGAGCTCATTTAAATGATAAAATAATTCTCAAATGATTTAATTATTGATAATACTGTACTTTTACTTTTCAGTTTACAGTGGCATTGAAACTATCCCTGAAATCATTACCTGCATATTTTACTTTAGTTTTTGAAATGTTCTAAATAAGTTGGGCACAAAATTAAGAGTACTTTTTCTTCTTTCCTCTCTTCTGTTTTTTAAATCTTGTAATTGTTTAAATAAATTCCTTTTTAATTTATAATTTAAATATGATAAAATTTATGATTTAAACTAACTCTTGATTTAAGAGATATAAAATGGAATATGAATAACAAATCATCAATGTTAGCTAAAGAAGCAAATGCGAACAATTATTAAAAACTTTTTAAAAAATCTCTTTATGTAGTAGTATCATTTCATTATAGCTTACTTTAAAAGTAATATTTTTGCTTAACAAATTAGATGACTAGGATAAAAACATAACAATTCTTTTTGTTTATACTTAAAACTCAATTGTATTTATAGTTAATTAATTCTTTATCTATGCAATTGAACAAACATACAAGCACTATCAGCCTACAGGATGAAATGTTTTCCCAGTTGAATTTCAAACTGGCCCATATTTTTACTAAAAATGAGGAAAACCTCAAATATTCTATGCAGCTACTGGAAAAAGAATATGAGGTGAACTACCAATATCCTGGGGTTTTAACCACCTGGCCGCATATAAGCATTCTATACTGCGCCACACGCATAGGTAAAAATCCGCACTTGTAATTGAACATATTTTCAGATGACATCATTTTATCTTGGCATAATGACAGGATGTTTAGGCAGGATTCTTATGGTTTTGTTTTCATTGAATGACACGCACAGTGAAATGGAAGCATGAAAATTATCGTTTATTTTCTTTGATATGGAAATATTTAGCTGCAGCGTTCTGCAAATGGCTTACTGTTTCATGGAATAATAAAATTATAAAATCTTTCAAAGATGCTGTTAATATCAGAAGCAATCTTAAACGCTTAGATTATATAAATAGCTGAGTTCATGAATTTATTGCAAAAACCAAAACATGACAATCTCGATCCAACTGTAAAGGCATTGTGTACTAGAAAAGTATAGTATTATTATTGCAATTTTGTTGCATTATGTTTTTTTCACACTGCAGAAAATATTTCCTTTGCAAATGTTATCTTATTTCCATGTTAATGCCCATGTCATTCTAATATTCTGTTGCCTTAAATTTAAAAAAAAGTTCATTCATTATCCTTTCTAGCGACAAACCCATTCAAAGCCATCTGAAGGAGCTTTACGTTCGACCATACGCATTTTCTTTGCACAAACAAGACACTTATAATGACTACTAAGTAATCCTTCATTTATACACCAGTCAATTAATGCTCTTTTTCCCTTTCATTCCAAATCATGCACAAACTTCAGATTAATCTCATCACATACAGCCATTTTAAGGTGTACAACACAAAATAAGCAACATACTTTTTATATGACCTCCAATGCAGTAATAAGCCCTTACAAACGTTTTCCCATCAGTCAAATTCACCACAATCACACAATCAATCCTTTCATAATAGGGTTGCCATAACATTCAACTACTCAAATCACCATACATGAAACAACAATTTGGCAATACATGAAACAACAACTTGGCGATAATCCAAGGGGGACCCTAAAATACAGACCAACCAAAAAGAAAAAAAAAAAATCACCCACAAAAAGTTTAAGTACTAATGTCAAAAATTTTTTATACTGTTTTAGATTATTACTTAAGCTATCATATATGTTAAAATTAGCAATTAATAATCCTTTTCCTTTACATGAAAATATATAAAAAGAAAAATTGTTTACTTTGAGAAATAATTTTTGGAAAAACTATTGAAATTATTCAGGTTTTAATTGACAGAATACATTAATAAACTTTAAAATTAACAAAAAATAAAATAATGTATATTTACAAGAGGAAGTAACAAAATCTTTCATGAGAAATGAAAAGCAGGCACTCACTGAGCTCAGTCTCTGACAAAATGTCTGCATTAGAATCACTAGAAATATCACTATATAACATTTTAGAAAATGAATCATCACTCTCATCCATGTCACTAACTGGCTCGTTTACCATGCAAGTATATCCTGCTTCTGATAAATAACACTTGCTCCCCATAATTAACTAAAGTCAAGTCTTTGCGAAATAAAAAGGGAAGTTTTTGAAATATAAGAGATAAAAGCAATGCAAAATGTAACAGAAACCCACATAGTAATCCTAAAAGACACTACATAGAAGTAAAAAAAAAAAACTTTTTTTAATGAATAAAAAAAGATATCTGAAGGGAAATCAGAAATGTGAATGTGTATATCATGTGCAAGTTAACTAGCCGAGCTCTGTTTCTTTGCATTACACTTTCTCTCCTACTTTGCAACAGTTAACACCAAAGGTAAGCAGAATGTGATCGATCTGAAGGTCAGGATCCTAAAACTATATTCATTTCAAAAGTAATAGACACAAAATGCCATCTAGTGGTCTTTACAAAATGTTTCAGGTTAAAATGCATATATTTATCACCCATCTCTTCTCCAGTGATGCATGTTTGGGCTGCCCGGCTGCGAAAGACGTTCAGAGGAATGGGTATATGGGACACCCAATCCGGAAAGGGTTAAATTTTAAAATGCATGTAATAACTTAAAATAATGATGTTCAAAATTATTGGCAATATAATAAAAATAAATGGCATAATTATTTTAAAAAATTAATCAACTGCTGTTTAGCATAAAGCGATTTAGCTTCAAATTTTGAAACCAAGTAAGAAGTCTTTCCATAATATGCTATACAGTCAAAAGTCGTTAATTCGGACACCCATAATTCGGAATGATCTATAATCCGGACATCAAAACTAAAAACTTTCTGCGCATGCGCCGCGTTGACACATGCGCAGAGGCGTTTACGCGTGCGCGTAAGACCTTTTACGACTGCGCATATGAGTGTGCGCAAGTGCAGAATACGTTTTCGCGTGCGCATTTTATGTATAATGGACGTATAAGCTAAATAATTATCTATTTCAGTTAATGTTGATGATTGCGTTGTTCCTTAATTTTCGAATTGCATCCGGCTTATTATTTTTTGCAGACTGTAAGAGCAATTTTATAAAAGTAAGCTTAAACTTTCGATTATATCAAATAGAATTTCCGATATATATTTGTTAATATGTAAAGGATCTAAAGCAAAAGTATGTTTTGAAATCCGAAATCTGTTTATCAATTTCACGCTGCTCGGCGGCGGGCGCGTAATGAATTGGAAGTTGATTTGTCAGCACTATCCTTATCTTCAGCGCAGATGTTTTTATTTTATTTGGCTTATAATTCCTTACCAAATGTAGTATTTCATCTCGATATGCTTCGTCTTTGATATGATTTAAAACAAGTTCCTCGTCATTATAATTCGCTTCCGGTAGCGAAGAAAAGTGACAGAGGTTATTGAAAACAAAAAAATTTCGATTGACAAATTAGTCTGTATTCTCGACACAGCAATTATAGGACTTGAACGGCGGAACTTGTAACTGAACAAGAAATTATGTCTGTTTAATAGAATTAAAGAGAAAGTATTATCACATGAAACGAAGCAAAACTTAAACAACTTACATTGAAAGAAATGTTTAATAAGTAAACAAATAAATATTAAGCTTTTTCTTTTTGCAAATTTTGATACCCTTTAGATCATAATTGTTCTTTATTTCATAAATTACGGTTTCATATTTTTAATTTTATAATTTCTGCATGCCATCTTACGAGATTTAAACTGATGATCTATAATCCGGAAAAATCGATAATCCGGAATCGCCGAAGTCCCGACGAGTCCGGATTAACGACTTTTGACTGTAGTAAATAAATAAGAAGTTTCACTATTTTGATGTATATCTTTTCAAATGCAATTTGGATGTCAAATCCTTCATTCTTTTCACTAAATCAAATAAATGATATAAAAAATACAAGAATTTTGTATTCTTCAAGCCTGAGATACAGGACAAAAAGTCCAAAATGCAGATGTTCAATTCTGGAATGATCTAAATTAGAAATTTTTTTGCATGCTTTATACATATGCATTTGATAGTTTCTCATAAAAAGCGTGAAGCGTCCTAATAATTAATTTCACGTTAGCACTAAATAAAATACCACCATCTCGAACAATCAATCGTTTATTATTACACTTACTGAATAATTTAAAGCCCTGATGCCAACCTCGCAAATTATTTGTAGAGACATTAGGATTTTTGGAAGACACAGCGAAGAAAAATTAGCAATTGCATTCACCAGAAATCGAACCACGGCCCTCTGAAATACCGGCTCAGTGTGCTGACCACTGCACCACGAAGGCGGGAGAAATACCTTATCTACTCCCAATTTTAAAACGCAAGTGAGGTTTTTAGGGGGCCTAGTCACGAAATCCTGGGTGTGGAGAGTCATCATCCATCACCCTTTTAGTTCAGGTGCCACTGTAGAGACATTAGGTTAATTGGAAAAGCTGGAGACATGAAAAATGAGCAATCGGCTTCGCTGGGAATTCGAACCACAGACCTCTGGAATACGGGCTCAGTGTGCTGACCACTACACCACGAAGGCATGCTAGGAAGGCTTGAGAAATACCTTATATACTCCCCTTTTTAAAGGGTGACTGGGGTTTTTAGGGGACCCAATCGCCAAATTCTGGGTAGGGAGAAATCATCATCTACCACCCTTTTAGTTCAGGTGCCACTGTAGAGACATTAGGATTTTTGGAAGCCGCAGAGATGAAAAATTAGCAATTGTCTCCGCCGGGAATCAAACCACGGACCTCTGAAATACCAGCTCAGTGTGTTGACCACTACACCACAAAGGCAAACTAGGAAGGGAGGAGAAATACCTTATACATTATTTATTATTTTTTGCTATCATCCCCACATGATGATCAACACAGCAGCATAAGACATGGACTCGTGCAAACATTTTTTTTTTTTTTTTTTTTTTTTTTTTTTTTGAAATATTAGTAACTGAATACCAACCAGCATGGTAACCTTTTATGTTGACATTACACTTGGCAATGATTACAGACTTCAGCTAACAGTGCTCTGAAGTGTTGAGTGTATTGACAATAAGAAATTTCTTTCCATAATCAAAAATACATTTTATAAGTTATACTCATAGGCCAAAAAAATTGCATCTTGTGTTGTTTGAAATGAAAAGAACTTATTTTTTATTCGGATAAGCACTGGACTGGTGGCAGAGCTGGTGGGCTAGAGCTGTGGGTAGTAGCATTTAGGGGAGGCAAAAATTTTTAACAACAAAATTAGTCTGGCAACTCAGTAAAAGTAGGCGGCCAATATAACTCTGATTAAAAATCTGGAACCACGTGCAGTGCTGATAAAGACCACGTGTTTCTGAGACTCCTTCCCCTTTATTTTCTTCTTTCTAGGTATTTCTTTCTCCTGATGAGGAGGGACCTTTAGCTGCCCTCGAAATCGATTGAGTGTTTCAATATACTTACGTTAAATACAAGGTTGTTTTTACGATTTTGAAATACAATGCTCTTTTCACTTAAACCATAAAATTCAGTTCAAAAGCAATATCGCAAAATAGTTGCTCATTTTAGAGCGTATCTTTAGAATTTCCAATATAGAGACTTGCGCTGGAGATAAAAATGTTTTTTCTACAGAACGTTGCCATTGCTCCCCTTGAAATCCTCGAGTTTGTTAATCAAAAATTTGTTGAAGCTTTACAAAATCTGAAATAGATAATAAAACAAATTTCAAATTCCAAATTTGGGCTTCCACATGCCCATATTCGCAGTAGGATTACGTCATTCAAAATTTGATGGCTCTACGTACTGTTGTTTTATCACAATGCGAGAAAGATACATAAATTTGTGCAGATTTTTCATTATTTAATTTCTTCAAATATAATGCAGGACTCTAACATACTCTAGCACATGCGCAAGATAAGTAAGTTCTCTGCTGCGTAATACTTTTCTAAGTAGTTAGCCAAAGTCAATGGTGAGTATTGCATGTAAGCGAGAAGTGTAAAGCGCTGTGTAATATCATGTTTCTACTCTGCCGTTCAACGTCTTCATAGTTTAAATAAATGTTTATCATGTATATGGAAGACATCATTTTATTCTTCATAGGTTATGGGCCCAGATAGCGCTTAACTGTGCAGTCCAACCACCATTGTTAAATTCTTTCGGTAAGCCAAGCTGCGTCGACTGAAATCAAAATGACGACGACTAATACAGTGTCAATTGAAAAGCTAAACAAGGACAACTTTGACACGTGGAAGTTGCAAATGGAAACAATACTGATTAAAAATGATCATTGGGACTACGTAACTGGGAAAATTCCGAAACCAGAACCTGGTGATGAAGAATTTGCTAAATGGAAAACTACTGACCAAAAAGCACGAGCGGATATAATCCTATCCATCTTACCCAGTGAACTTCCACAAGTAAAGAATTGTGTAACATCTAACGAACTGTGGAGTAAATTGCATTCTATTTACGAATCGAAGGGACCAGCTAGAAAGGCCACAATTCTAAAAAAAAAAAAAAAAAAAATGCTTTTTACAAAAATGAGTGATTCTAAACAAATGAATGATCATCTAAATGATTTTTTCATTCTTGTGCACAAACTTAACGAAATGGAAATAAACATTGTGGATGATTTGCTCACAATATTGCTTTTATATGGCATACCGGACTCGTATGAAAGCTTTCGAATAGCCATCGAATCTCGTGATGAAACGCTGAAAATTAAACTGTTGGAAGAAGCTAACGTTCGCAAAAATAAAGATTCATCGTTTTCCGAACCACAACATGCATTCTATTCAAAAGATCGGGAGTATAAACGACTGGTTCCTAAACCGAAACCACATAAGTCTGCAAACCGAAGACAGTATCCAGTTAACTACAGATGCAACTTCTGCCATATCTATGGGCATAGAGCATTGGAATGTAGTAAGAAAAGTAAAGAAACTAAAAGCAAACAGCTCAGTGAAACTGCGATGTCTGCAGAAAATCAGAATTCCTTGGAGCAAGAAAAAAGCCGTATCATGCACAAATAGTAATTCTAAAGACATTTTTTGTCTGGATAGTGGTGCAACATCGCATATGTGTAACAGCAAGAAACTGTTTAATGTTACCTC